AAAAAAAAAAAAAACCCAAAAAACAAAAAACCAGGAGCTATTCTATTAATAGAATATTAATATTAATATTGATATTAATCAATTAGAGTCCCCTCTCCAATCTCTACAGGGTTTATCCTCTTGTGCTCCGACAGAAGAACCTCTTCCCTCTGAATTGCAACAAGAGTTACAAGATGAAGAACACAAGTATGAAAAGGAATGTTACTCTTCTACCTCAGATGAAGATACACATCTGCCTGGGTTAGTAGCTATGGCTGGGCTTCAATTTCTAATCTACCTAAATCTGCTTTGTCTTGCCCTTCTTCATGCCCTTATCTGCCAGAGCTCAAAGAATTTGCTTCTGTGGTAGCTTTAGCTCCTGACTAGGAGACCTATTGTTCTAGCACCAAATCAAAAAACCATTCCTCATGCCTATAAACACTTTCATAAACAAATTTCTTATCACTAGTTGCCCCTGAAAATTGCAAACTAAAATATCCATTTCCTATTTAAGGGACAAGTTAACTTACTCCACTATTCACTCTCAAAAGATTCAATTCTCCAACTCAGTTAACTTTAAATAGTTTGAAAGATGACCATGAGGGGAATCCCTAGACTGCTCCCATAAGTTTAATGTAAGTGCTGCCAAGGAAGCCTAGTAGTTGCCTGAACAGGCAGGGCTGGAGGTATAGTTCTCCAACACTCCTAGCAGTTCTGCCAGGAGATTTCTCCTAGGAGTCTTGGGGTTCTGCTCTCATACACCCGTTGTATCTAGCCACTGTGGTCTACCTGCTTTATTTTGGTTGCATGCTGAAAACTTTAAGTCTCATTAGTTCTAATTTTGTTCTTGAGAAATTTAGTATTTCGGTGTCTGCTGTGCATTACAAAAGATCAGGCCTCAATCCCAAATAACAACCCACTGGGGCATACTTGTCTGATTGGTCTCAGTATGGGAACCCACCTATAACTAAAAGACAATGCCAATTTTATTGTAACACGGCCAGGCCAATGTATCTATCACCTTGACACTGGAGAAAAATGGCCTTTGAGTGGATCCTTGAAGAATTATAATGATATTTTATCATTTAAAATAACAACTCTGTTTAAAATACTTAAGTTTGTTTTTTCTTAATAGAATTTGTGAGTTCACAAGCAGTAATTAAAACTATATTTATATATGTAATTTATAGGATGTAAAATGGTTAACAAAAAAAATTTAAAATGATAACTAGAACCTAGGTAAATTGCTAAAATACATAAATTAGTTAATTAAAAAGTTAATAGTCTGAATAAAAATACATGTTTCAATGTATTTAAAAGCCAACAAACATAAAGTCTTTATGTCTGTCTGTATGTGTGTCTGTACATGTCTTGTGTCTATGATATTTCACTATCATAATCTACAAAAGAGTTCTAACTAATTGGCAAAAAATAAAAAAGAGAGAGATGGGTGTAAGCACTTATATTAAGTATTTTATCAGAAAAACAAAAAGAATTCAAATCCCTTTTTATTCAGGTGATTTTAGTATTCTTTGTGAAAATTAATGTTAAACCTGTTACTAAAGTTCAGATGTTTAGAGATAATAGAACCGCCACTTATGTAACATTTCGAAATTTTGCTGGATTTAACTTTGAGCTTATGTTCTTGATTTAAGCCTGTAAATTCTGACATATAGAGAGATGGCTGTGGTGAGGCCTAAAGGCATGTTCCCCATACTTACAGCAGCTGTAGGGTATAGTCTAACCCACATGGCCCCTTTGTCTTCTCTGCTTCCACTTGACCTCCTGGCTATTCTGAGTGAAACTGGATGTTCTGGGTTCTCTGCTTTCTGTCTCAGACACTGATTCAGTCCTTTGTGGCCATCTTTGATGCCATGTGGCCATGTGAAACTTAGGGTTGGAAACTGAAGTCAGAAGTCTCCTGTATGGGTCCTTTATCAAGGGGTAAATTTTGGCCCTTAGGGAAATTTTGGAAGGACTTGCTTGGTGGAAAAACACCTTTGCAAGCTGAATGAGTGTTTTAACAAATGAATGAATGCAGTCATTGGGGCAAGGTTGTTGAGTCTTTACAGTTTTTGTCTCAGGGAAAGGATTAGGCTGTGTGCTCCCTGCTCTCCTAGAATCACCCAAGGTATTTCAGGTTGCTTTGTTCATGACCTTGCTAGAGCCCATAGGGTGTGGCCTGGAAAGGACAGCCTATTTGTGCCTAAAGAATGGGGGATCCCTGTCTAACCCTGAGTGGGAAAACCCTGTTCATAAAATCATATCTCATTTGTAAACTATAATAATTTGGTTGCTTAAATTGTTTAGGAAACTGAGTGTCAAAGAATAAGATTCTTGCCTTTTAAACTTTCTAATTATCAGTTTAGCCAAGTGAATAATTAACTTCATAGTAAACTGTGAT